ATTTTTATATGTTTTTCTTATTGAAATTTTTTTCCAAGCGAATGAAACTAATAAACAAGAAAAACATGTAGTAGAAAAAAGAGAAAATTTTCAATTGTCATTTATGCTATATTAAATTTATATTTGAAATTAATTTTCAAAAAAAGTAAGAAAGTTAAATTAAAATAAAAATTTTTCTAATTTGTACCCTTAGGTACATGTTGAGAGTATATTTTTACAATAAACTTGTATCAAAATGTTAAAATAAATATTAATTTTAATGTTAACGTCACGTGAATATAATTAATTAAATAATTAAAAAATTAAATATTATTTTCTATTTTTTCAGGATCTCTAATCTATACTCTTAAAATGTAGGTTAGAATAACTTTTAAAATAATACTTACTTTATAGTGATTAATCCTTAAATGTTTTGAACCCAGTACCATTTCTGTCACGCCCCAAAACCCAAATTCGAGGTGCGACAGACGCCGTGCACTCGTGAACAAGTCCTACGAATGCACAAGGCTTGGAACTTATCCATTTCACATCTGACAATCCAATAACTTAAATCAAATATTTCAAAATTAATTCTATGTCTAACATGACTTAAACTGAAAACCTCAAGATCAAATCTCTTGTAAACTAACAATCCACTAAATGAATTTATAAAATCTCCAATTAAAATCTAGCTTACAAGATCATGATCTATATTTACAATCTATGTTCACTTTACAAGATGACTAGCCCTCTAACTCGTCACTCTCCTAGGTTTCCCCGTTCTCGGTTTCGCTTCCTGAAATGGTGGACAAGGAAAAATGTGAGATAACTCAGTAAGTAAATATGGATAGCCCTTAGGTAAAACTTTTAGCATGCCAGATAAACCATGTAAGCATAACAAAATGCTTAATGACAAAATCAGATTCAGTTCAATTGCAAAGCATTCAATGACAAACCGTCAATGCAAAATCAGATTCAGTTCAATAACAAAACGTTTCATGACAAACTGTTAATGCAGAAGAAAACTCAGTTCAGTAGTCTCATCTATAAGTCATGGCCAGCGTTTATAAACCTCCCACTGGCGGGCACAGTAGTTACCAATGTTTAACCCCATTGGCAAGGTTACAGAAGTATCAGTGTTTAACAAACTCCCACTGGCAGGTGTCAGTAATGGTACCAGTGTTTACAAACTCCCACTGGCAGGCGTCAGTAATTACCAATGTATTATCCCATTGGCAGGATGAATCGGTTCTATCAGTAAACATGTCAACATGTACTAGCGTTTATAAACCTCCCACTAGCGGGCACAGTAAACATGACCATATCAGAGACAAAACCATGCAAGATTTACAGAAACCCGAAATTCACAATCAATCTCAAATTTCATAAATAAACCGGAAAACTTCCATGTGAGCATGGATTTAACAGAAAACTCAACATTTACAAAATTCTTAGTTCATCAAAGCAGTTCAGTCAATTTCCAAATAGGCATGCTCAACTCCAGAAAAACAATGAAATTCTCATTTTCATTTCAATCATACTCAATTCCAAAAAAACAATAATTTTCATAAAAATCATCACAATTTTTATTTCAGTTTAATCACACTCAGATGCTGATAAAATCAATTTAAACCTTGCCACCATCTCAAAAACAATTGAAAACATGCTTTAAAATCGAAGGGTTTTACTATAATTTACTCACCTTACTCACACAGAACAGAAGGCTAACCCAAGTGCTACGGTGACAGAACGATCAAAACCTAATCACAATATTCCACAATTAATACCACACTACCACAAATTCAAAGTGAAATCATCATTAGCACTACCCCTAATCACAGTGCTATTTCTATCAGTCTTCACATAATCAGACATCTCTAAATTTGTTCTTATATTACAAATTAAACATTTAAATCCCCATTAATCGTTGACCCTCGGTGTGTGAACAGTGCCCGTGAACAGTACCTTGTGAACAGTACCTCGTGAACAGTAACTTCAACTCCCAAAATTGGCAAAACATAGCTAATTCACGGGGTTTTTCTCCAAAATCACAGCAGTCATAATAAGCTAATTTTCTACTTAAACCAAGCTTAAAAATCTAGCTTAAGCTACCAAATTTCCCCATTTCTCACGGCAGCACAGGGAGAGCATAACTTTGGCAAATCACAACTCACACACACGGGATTTTCACACAAAACATCACAGCAGCCAATTCAAGCTAAATTCTACATAATCAAGCTTAAAACACATTTAAAATGCTACTAATGCTACCGGAATTCCCCCATTTTCCAGCAAAATTCGGACAACCCGAGCAGCCACAACAAGGACCAAATTCAGCAAAGGCAATAACCAATTGGGTAAAATTCGAACTTAAGGGAGGTTGCCAACTTACCCACAATTTTCCAGCTGCAAAAACCGAGCTTGGCTGGGGGAGAAACCGGCGGGAATTGCAGGGGAAGCTCACGGCTACCTCTAAATTGAAGGAGATAAGAGCAATTAAGGTAAACCCAGCCTTAATCAAGCTGAAAAGATGAAGTTTATGGCTGTGGCTTACCCGAAAAATGCCCAAAAATTCAAACCCACATAGCAGCCGGCGGACAGGGGAGAAAAGCAGAGCAGATCCGGGATTTTGTGGGTTTAATAGGTGTTCTAGAACAAGAAAATAGGGAGAATCCCCAAGCTTTGCCGGATTTCCGACCGGAAATGGGTGGCGGTAAATGGGGGGCTCGTCGGGTGCAGAGGGTCGGGGGAGGAAGGAGAGGAGCAGAACACGCGGGCCTGGGGAGGAAGAAAAGAAAGAAAGAAATAGAAAAAAAAAGGAAGCTGATCCTTATCCAAATTTCTTTTCTTTTTAGTCTCTCGACTTTTGAAAATTTTGCTATTAAGCCCAAAACAATATTTGTTTCACACATAAATCCCTAATTTAATGCTAAAATACCTCAAATTTTTGGGATATTACAATTTCTTTGACATACTGATGAATCAAAAGTGAACTTATTTCTTGGGTATATTTTTTTAGAGCAATGCCAGGGGCACTCACCTCCTGCACTCTCCGGTCAACACTTTCTCTTTTATCGGGCCACGTTATTTTGTCTTCCGAGAGGTTGCGCCTGAAAGCTTTAAAGAAGCTTACGTGGCCCAATGAAAGGGAAATGTTGGCCGGAGATTGCAAAAAGCGAGTACTCTTAGTACTGTTCATTTTTTTAATATCTTTTCTGATTGTGAATAGTATACATTTAATTTTATATATATTTTATACTTATTTTAATTTAATTCTTGAAATATAATATAAATATAATTAATTTAATTATTTCTTATATCATTTATATATAAATTTTTTAAAATTATTTATTTTTAATTTTAAATTTAAAAAATAATAATTTTTAGTATATAAATATATTATATAATATATTAAAATAAAATGAGTATGAATGGGTGTTCCAAAGAGAATGTTTATGTTCTCCACCGCAATTAACGCTTGAGAACCGCGCGGTTACGTAAAACACGTGGGTAGTTTTAGCTTGAAGCCATTTTTTCAGGAATAACGATAAGCGCTTGGGACGACCCGCGTTGG